ACAGCACACATGCCAGCGATGACATGCAGGCCTCTGGGTGTGTACTGTATCAAGAGAGACTTGATAAAAGGTATAAGGCTTGCCATGCCCTCCTACCCACCAGTTAGCAGCAACAAAAGGATAAAAAACTATAGAAGGTTTTCGGTCATTGTTATGTATTCACTAAGTCCTATCAGTCTCGTTTACGAGACTTGTCTTGCAGCTTCACTCTTCCCCATTGTCCTCTCTAATCCTCATATGCCTGGATTTACCCACAGTATCTCCAGGGTATCAATTAGTCATAATGGGTGTCCTAGCTGAGGTGGAGAGATGAGCTTTGTCAGCGATGGCAGAGAACTTGCATTTTATCCTAGGTGCTGTGGGCAACCATTGAGATGGAGCAGAGGCAGAAGGAATCAAGTTTGGTCTGGGGCTTTTATAGGTTGAGCTGCCTGAAAGACATCCCAGTGGATACCACATAGAAATTGTCTAAATGACTGTGGAGAACAGAGGAGAGGTTCAGATAACATATGGTTGGCATACTGATGCTCTGAAGTTCATTGAAATAGACAAGCTCCACTCAGGAGGGAAGATGGAAATGACTATAAAGGAAGTTCGAGTGCGAGTGGAACAGAGGCAGTAGATTTGAGAGGTGTGTGAAGGGAAGGGAAGGCTTTTTAAAGAATGGGCGATACTAGATCACACTGCTACCTGGACAATACACTGAGGATTGACCCTACTACAGTCATGCTTTGCAGCCTTTTGGATTTCGCAGCATACTTTTTTACTTTGCCACAATGTGCTTTTGCTGCAGATGACTGAGAACCTGCTGAGTGGGATGGCAGGGGAACCCTTTTAAGAGGAGCCCTTGGTCCTGGGGTGGTATTCATCCGTGTCAATGCTAAGTTCCTCCTTCCTCTTTCTCTGGGATGTGTTGGCCCACCAGAGCAAAGTGGTTGAGCACAGCTGTCCTGACAGATGATGTTAAGAGAGTGAGCAGACTGGCTTCAAGCTGTCATCAGATGTTAGACCAAGTCTACAGAGCTAGAGTTACACCCACATGTCTATAACAAGTTTAGACTTGTCATAAGTTTACCGAATGAACTGGACTCAGTGTAGTGCAAGGAAAAAACAATTTCATTCTTTGAGTTGTATTGAGTCCAGCTCATCCCAGCAGGTTAATAACTTCTTTACCTAACTTGATAAAATATGAAAAACTAGATGAAACAGATCATTTCCCAGGAGAACACAATTTACAAAAAAAAAAAAAAAATGACTGCAGTAGTGACAAAAGAAAAATAAAGATATCAAAGAACTAGCTCCACCAAAAAGCACTGTGCCCATATGGTTTCACAGGAGAATTCTACCACACCTTCAAGTATCTAACACTTCAGAAACTGTCCCAGAGCTTAGGAAAACTTCCAAATTTGTGTAAAGCAAGTGTAACAAGGATGAATAATTAAACCTGATAGAGATACCACAAAAAACTCTAGACCACTCTCATTTATGAATATCAGTGAAAAACACCCAATGAGCTATGAATAGAGTGCATCCCCACATGAAGGGAAGAAGGCTATACCAAGACCAAGTGGCATGGATTCCAGATTATCTGCATAATTATCAATAATATAAGTTAGGAAATCTAGTCATATAGTTAACCAGATTTTTAGATATTTGGGGGAAATCGCATGATTATCTCCATAGATGCTGAAAGGCATTCAACAAAATTCAACACCCATTTCTGATTTAAAAAAAAAAATAGAAAAATAAACATGCAATGATAACTAGGATACAAGCTCAGGGGGAAAAAAGAGCAATGAGAGGGGGACCAATAAAACTATCAGACATTAAAACATACCAGGGTCTCTAAATTTAAAACAAACTGCTATAGAATAGAAAACAGAATAGAAAGCCCAGAAATTGACATGAGTACATGTGAAAATTCTGTCTATGTTAAAGGGAGCCTCTGAAATCACTGGTGATAGGATGCCTTAATTGCTATTTGAACAAACATAGAATTTCATCCATACTTCTACCACAATAAATTCCAAATGATTAAAGGAACTAAATGTAAAATATGAAGCCATACAAGTACTAAAAGAAAATATAGATGATTCCTTTATATCCTGATGCGGGAAAAGGCCTTCTTACTATTGCAAAAAATCTAGATGTAACAACAAGAACAAAATTTATGAAGTCACAAATTAGACTACATAAAAATAAAAGTACACCAAAACAACAATAATAACAATTTCTACCTGACCAATGGAAAAATAAATCGTAAGCAAAGTTAAAAATAAAATGACAAACTGAGAAAAAAAATTTGCAATGCATATCACAAAGAGCTGGTAACATAAAATGTAATTAAATCTTAAAATTGAAGAAAATGAATCGAAATTATATTGGAAAAAAATGAGCAGACTATATGTAAAGAGCCCATAATTATATGAAAATGTACTCAATTTCACTCAAAATAAGTAAATTAAAATTATGCTAAGATACTGTGTCTCACCTTTATATTGTTGAAAATTCAAACATTTCACCAACACTCTGTGGATGTGACTCTGAAGAAACAAGCACTCTCATACATTGCAAGTAAGAGGGCACTACACAGATTGGTATCAACATACTAATCCCAAAATAGTGCAACAGGGTCTGGGGCAGGATTTGGGGAGTGGATTGTAATTTTTAAATAGGGTAACCAGGGAAAGGAGTCACTGAAAGGGTATCATTTAAGCAAAGACCAGAAGAGGTAAAAGAATGAGTCACAATGAAATGTAAGAGAAAGGATGTTCCAGGAAGTGCAAGTATCCTGTGGTGGGCACCGGGTGGCCTGAGTAACAGGAAGTTGAGGCCAGCTGGAGCTGAGTGGGCACGAAGCAAGGAGAGGGCAGAGGAGCTGGGGTCAGGAGGTGGGGGGCAGATGGCATGATTGGGCTTTGTAGGTCACCTATATATAGGTCATTGTCATGACCTGAGAGACAGGAGCCTTAGGAGGGTTCTGAGCAAAGGGGTGATGTGTTCTGACTCACACTTTGAAGTCTCAGCTAAACAAAACTACTTCACTGTACTTCCTCTTTCAGATAATGTATAAGTTGATTGTCAAACTGATCCCTGAAGAATCCTTTTTATTTCTTCACTTCCATCCACAGTTAACTTATGACAGCCTCTTTAAATAACAGCTAAAGTTACCACCAAAGAACCATTGTGATTCCATCACCGGGGCTGAAAGAGGTGTTAGCATTTGCAGGTGTTTTCGGTCATGTTCATATCTTTGAAGATGAAAAGCAGCGTGGTGCAGATGAGAAGACATGGAGAAGGTTGGATCGATGAGGGTATAAAGAGACCAACAGGGCATGCCTCCTGCAAGGGGCGAGGTGAGTGCTCAGGGGAGGGTAAATAATGTAGCTGATTCCTGGGATAGGGCCAGGGAACCAGAAGGTGGGGAACATTCATGTCCAACTGCATAGAGGTTTTCTTGTTTGGTTGTTTTCGTTTTGAACTGGGGCCTCACTCTGTTACCCAGGTTGGAGTGCACTAGCATGATCACAGCTCACCATAGATAGCCTCCACCTCCTGGACTCAGGCGATCCTTCCACCTCAGCCTCCCAAGGAGCTGAGACTACAGGTGTGCTCCACACACCCAGCTAATTTTTTGATTTATTGTAGAAACGAGGTCTCGCTATGTTGCCCAGGCTGGTCTCAGACTCCTGGGCTCAAGCAGTCCACCTGTCTCTGCCCCCAAAGGTGCTGGGATTACAGGTGTGAGCCACCACACCTGCCACAGAGAGCTGTTAAAATTACAACAGGCTGGGTACTGGGAGAGAGGGGGCCACACTCCTCAGTCCTGACAGCTCATAGTCTGCCAGGGGAGCTCCAGGTCCTTCTACTTCCTGAAACCACTATCCTGGATGTAAAGCTAGTGGTCCTTCCTTGATGGGCCACAGAGGCCACACTCATCCAGAAGAGGGTTCCAGCTGGAATGCGAGATTCTTGAAGTCTCCCCGTGGAGCTGGGTGATCTTATTTTCAGGTGGTGATTCTAAGGAGAGGAGGAGTGAGACCTTCTTGGAAGAATGGTCAGAGATGGGGTTAGGACTAGAAGTCATTTCTTATCTTGCTACCTCTTACCTTGAAGATACCTGGAGCAGGGACCTCATGCTGAGCTGAGACACCCCACTCCCTGCCATTCTTTCCTCCCAGGGCCCTGCATCTTTGTCGTGTGCTCACGTGCTCACTGTGTTGTGCCTACCGGGGATAGTTCATGACAAAAGGAAGCAGGCAAACAAGTCTGGGAGAGAGACCATAAATGAGAGGACCAAGCCAGGCTCGGTGACTCAGCCTGTAATCCCAGCACTTTGGGAAACCAAGGGAAGTGGACTGCCTGAGCCCACGGGTTCGAGACCAGACCAGGCAACTTGGCAAGACCTCGTTTCTACATTAAAATAAAAAATTAGCTGGCCGTGGTAGTGCACACCTGTAGTTCCAGCTACTTGGAAGGGTGAGGCGGAAAGATCATTGGAACCCAGCAGGTCAATACTGGGGTAGCTGTGAGTGTGCCAGCCTGGGTGATGGAGTGAGACTCCACCTCAAAAAAAAAGGAGGACTAGGCAGGAATATGACTCTTCACCCCCTAGCTGTATTCAGCTGGCCTTTTAGATCCTATTTAAGAGCATTATGTTTTTAACGAAGGTTTGAAGAAAGAGATGAGGAGCTGGAGTGTTGCTCCCCTGTCAGTACTACTAACACAAACTGGTTTTATGATACGATAGAGGAGAAGCAATCAATGCATAAATTAGAGCTTAACGTTGTCACCAACACCGGAGCATCAGGATTTAGTGAAAGGAGAGCAGGCCGAGATATGACAAAGTTGTAATTGGGAGACAGGAAGCAACACTATTTTTCACAGTAAAATAAAAAAACGGGGAAAGGAGAGAGATTAAGAGAGAAAATGAAATGCACAGTCTTTGCCAGGCTGAGTTACAAATGACCCCTTCAAATTAAAAAGTGCCAAGAACTTACGTGATATCAGCATTAGGGTGAAGCCCAAAGACTTCAGGGTTATCTAGTGATGGCAGTGACTGAATGTACTCAAAATACTGGTCCAAAGTTTTGCACAAAGGAATTTTATATCCAGTATAAAAACAGAATGATGGTTCAAACATCTTCTCACTGAACCAGACCTGTATGTGAGAGAAAAGAAGAGAAATAAAGTTGATGAACATCTAAATGAAAACGGCTACTAGAAAGGAGGTAGGATTACCTTATTTCCATTTTAATAGAGTTTTTAATATTGATTTTGAGAGCACCTTGACCACACCACTGATAGAATAATTAACACGTATATGAAGAAAAGAGAGAGGTCAGAACAAAATTAGGCCTAGCCTCTGTTTAACACCAAAGAAAGTGTTTGCTAACAGTGAAGAGGAGAGGAGCAACTTTGTAAGTCAGCTCTCTGCTCAAGTAATTTGACACCCCCCAAGTCCATTTTAGGAAAGGAAACATACTGCAAAGCCCATGCAGCAAGACCTCCTTCTGCTCTCCCACACTGGGCTCATGCTAGTTTTGCTTACACAATACTGAGCACCGGCACAGGCCCGGGAAAACTCCTTACAAACGTCTCCCCCAGAATTGCTTGAGTCCAGGAGTTCGAGACCAGTTTGGGCAATGTAGGGAGATCTTGTTTGGAAAAAAAAAAATTAGCTGGGCACGGTAGCATGTTCCAGCTACTCAGGAGGCTAAGGTGGGAGAATGGCTTAAGCTCGGGAAGTCAAAGCTGCAGTGAGCCATGATCATGCCACTGCACTCTAGCCTGGGTGACAGAGTGAGACCCTGTCTCAAACTCAAACACACACACACACACACACACACACACACACACACACACACACACACACCCCTCCCCTCCTGCCCTGAGCTGGAACGCTTCCTTTGCTAATTAAGTTATGTTCCTGTCCACAAGAAGCAAATGTATCCAATTGCCTTGTTTTTTGCCTTAAGACATCCTTTTTTCCTTCTATATGAATTGGTTATCTGTAACAAAACAACGCAGGAACAAATATACGCTTGGTGTGAATAGGCTTATTCTGAAAAAGGGGAAACAATTGATGCTGAATGCCTATGAGGCAGATTTGAGGCAATGATTTGTGTCTAACAGAGCAATTTTCCCGGTGGGGTGGGAAATAATGGGGAGGCAGGAGGAGCGGAAATGCAGGCACAACGTCTGAATCACTCGGAGCACTCGATGTGAAAAGGACACCTGACTCCAGTTGGTCACACTCTCTAGTGTCTTCCCTCCCTAGTCTTCTTCCAGCTCTTTTTAAATCCAGTGATTGTTCTGAAATACTCTGTGTACGGACTTTCTCCGTTTTATTCTATTCAACTCCTGTGCACAAGCCATTGAGCTTAGAACCAGAACAGAATGCAAAGATGAGAGACACACAGTCCCTTCCTTCAAGGAGCTTGTGACCCAGTAGAGGGATAAGCCAATTACCTAATAATCACAATACAAAGTGCACTAAGGTAAGAACTAGAAGGAAATAGAAATAAGCAAAGGACTAAGAAGGCTTAAAGGAGGAAGAACGAAAAGCCAGGTGGATGTCAGCAGAGGCTTTATCCAGGCGGTTTTTGATGATAAGCTTTGAAAGAGAGGATTTTGATAGATTGGCGAGGTCACACAAGCAAAGAGCATGGAAGAAAGGAGGCAAAAATGGGAGGAGATTGGGGAAATAATGAAATCTAGGGTAGACAGAATGTAGTCATAGGAAGTACGACAGAAATGTGAGGTCATGTTATGGGTTACTATTGTGTCAGGGTGAGGTCTGGCACTTAATTTAAGAAATTGTTGGAAGTTGTTATTAAAGAGAACAGTGTTATGAGCATGGTCATTATTAGATTTTTGTGTGTGTGTGACGTGGATGACTTAAATTGCAGGGAGATATCATAAGGAGGCAAAGGCCATGGTCTTCAACACACAGACAACAAATGACCACACTCAATTCTGGGTTGCCAGATGACTTGGATTTGCAAAAGCAAAATGTAGTCTCTTCCTGTTTTCCCATCACTTTATGCACACAAATAGCTACACACACACACACACACACACACACACACACACACACACACACACACCCCCTGAGTTTCACCAAATTTGGAGAATATTTGGGGTATAATCAAAACACAGACTATGAAATTCACATGAAATGACTGTGTGAGAGTCCAGCAGTTACCTACAAAGAAAAGTGGTCATCCTCCAAGAAGACTGAATACGGTTCTAGAAGTGTTGGTTTTAAAGGAGAGATGCCGAGATCAGAGGAAACAAATAGAGGTTCAAAGATAAGCCTTAAATCAAAAGTCAGAGGGACAGATGATCCAATGTGTAGGCACTGGTTTACAGTTGAACTGCTTCACACATGGACGACGTGGCTGAGGTGGAGTAGCAGCAGCGTAGGCAGGTGGCTGGTTAGAAGGTAAGACAGGGGCTGAGCATGAGATCAAACAGGAAGAAGCAGGGTGTGGAGTCTCTGGGGCTTTTTGGTAGCCTTTCTTGAGAGGGCTGTGACTGTCAGGTTTATGCAGTAACTTCATGTTCTCAGAGCTAGAGACCCAAGCTCATCTCTGGTTATTGAGGACCATCTGAAACGAATCCAGGCTAGCCAGGGGAATGAGTGAGGGAAAGGGACAGATGAGACAGGAGGTGGGAGAGTGTGTAGGGCAAAGAGCAGATTCCGTGGGAAGAAGGGAGAGGGGCCAGCTGCTCAGAGAATGGAAGCCACTAAAGGCAGAGCTACTCTTAGGAAAGTCTTGAAAGAGGGGATGGGATGAGTCTGGGGAAGCCATTCAGGGGTTAAAAAAAAAAAATGAAAAAAATTGCAGGACAGAGCTCAGAAAAGCCAGAAGCAGATGATATAAAGGAGAAACATAACCCGGATGAAGAGGGCACTGCTGTTACTTAGCTAACCAACTGGGGCTTGGATACAGAACCCTGTGCTTCTAGCCCAAAAAGTCCGCACAACTGAGACAACCCTCCCAAATGCACTTCCCCCAGGCCTACCCAGGCCCAGGCCCAAAGGATGGAGAATTTTAGGCTTCTACAAGAGGGTGAGGTCAGATGACTAGTCCTCTGTGGTCCCAAATGCCAAATGTTGGGGTACAGAGAATAAGTAGAGGAAGAGGAAAGACAGGAGGTCAGGGTCAGGGAGGCGAATCTTGAGATCCTGAAGGTGGAGCAGGCTGAACAAATGATGCTTCTTCCTCCCTGTGTTCCTGACTCCATCTCCCTTGAGGCTCCGGATCAACTCAGCAGCTTTCTACTGTGACCATCTGCACCCTGAAGAATTCCAGATCTTTCTCTCCATCCATGAGCTCTACCCCTGACCTCCAGATCTTCAACAAATATTTATTGAGCACCTAGTATGTGCCAGGCTCTGTTTCAGGTGCTCAGAGATTGGCATTGATGTTATCAAAGTACCTGCCCTCATGGAACTTACAGTCTTAGACAACTCCATTTATGACCAAAACAGAGCTCCTTATTTCCAGCCCCAGCCAATAAAACTCATTCTGACTGTAGTCCTTCCCCTTTTCTGTAAATAGCCCCATTCTCTCTCCAGTTGCTTATGTCAAAACTAGGGGTGACTGGCCCATGACTCCCTGTTCTTTCACCCAAACACTTGACCCCAACAGCATTCTGCTGGTACTTTCTGTAAAATATATCCTGAAGCTAACCACTTTTCACATTCTCCACTGCTAAAACTCCAATTTTAGGTACTTCAACTATTGTAACAAAGTATACTAAAAAATCATTTTTTTCTCCTCTGAACTTCAGATACAGAGATGAGTTTCTCATACTCCTTGCTTTATTATTTTCATGAATCTAGGCCCCTTTTATTTTAGTTTTTCCCCAGTCTGTCCTGATACTCACTCACTGTCTCCTTCCCTCTGAAGACATCAATTTATGTGTGTTTCATAGGTGTCCTTGGATGTGTATTTATCCTTGTAAATGATACCTGTATCCTTGTAAACCATGTATTACTTTACCGATCTCATTTTATTTTTTTAAGCTCTGTACTTGCCACTGTTTTTAAGACCTATGCATTATGTCATTTAGATCATTTCTTCTAAGTGCCGCATTGTATACAACTATAGGTACCAATGACATTTAACTTCATCTATTTCCCTACAAGAGATACTTAAGTTGCCTTCAACTTCCCACTACCACAAACAATGCTATTAATAATATCCCCTTACATTCTGAGAGTTTCTCAGGGAAATATACTCAAGTAGGATTCTGGTTGGGAAGGTAGTCACATCACACACCCAACATGAATAAGTGCCCCCAGATGGGTGAGCAATGGTGTTTCATTGTGCTCATTCACTACATCTCATCTATTCTCTTAGGATTCTTAGGCTTTTGTACTAGATGCTATGATGTGCCACACCGATCCTCCTTCAGAACCACACACTCACCCTCCAGGTGTCTGGAGTATTGACTACTGTGGGCTCACAGTATTGTCCCTTCTCCAGAACCACCCTGGCAGAGGGAACTTCCTCAGTCAAGGTTATGCCCTGGGGGAGAGGCAGGGGACAGTGAGGGAGTCCCTCAAATGCAAATCTCCATCACTGTTTCCAGGGAAACCAAACCATGACAGTTGCCATCAGCTCCACACACAATGTTGTCATGAATATTTTTGTACATGCCCATTTGTGAACTTTTTCTAGAAATGTTCTAGGGTGTGTCTACCTGGGATACTTAATCTCAGTATTACTGGACTGGTTTCCAGGAGGTCTGTCTACCAATTTGAACTCCCAGCAGCAAGTTCCAACCTCTGCACATCCATAAGAACAGGGGTTCCCAACCCCCAGGCCATGGACCATCGGTCCATGCCCTGTTGGAAACTGGGGCACGATAGCAGGAGGTGAACAGCGAGTGAGCAGTGATGCTTCATCTGTATTCACGGTCACTCCCCATTGCTGTTTGCATTACCACTTGAGCTCTGCCTCCAGTGACAGCATTAGCTTCTCATAGGAGTGTGAACTCTATTATGAACTGCACATTCGAGGGATCTAGGTTGTGCACTCCTTATAAGAATCTATACTTGATAATATGAGGAGGAGCTGAGGTGGTAATGCTAGTTCTGACTTCCATCACCCCCAGATGGGACTGTCTAGTTGCAGGAAAACAAGTGCAGGGCTCCCACTGATTATGCATAATGGTGAGCTGCATAATTATTTCATTATATATTACAACGTCATAATAATAGAGATAAAGTGCATGATAAATGTAATGCTCTTGAGTTATCCCAAAACCATCCCTACTCCCTCCCACCCTCATTTGTGGGAAAATTATCTTCCACAAAACCGTCCCTGATGCCAAAAGGTTGGAAACCGCTGCTTAAGAACACTTATTATTTCCCCCCTTTCTCTACATCTGGCTTCCAGAAAAACTTGCAAAAATATGGAAGGGTTAAAAGAAAGTCAGTTTTCTGGCCTACCCCTAGTTCATCAAAATACCTTCAAGGCTTGTGCTTTGTTGTTGCAGTTTTAATTTTGTTAAGGGGGAAAAAAATCATAACAGCAGAGAATTACCAATATAGGTCCTAAGATACAATTCAATAACCATAAAATATTCACATCTGATCTTTTCCTCTTAGATGATGTATATTGCTTCTCTAAACGTAAAAGAAAATGTTAAGAGTTGAGTCTGGAAGGTGTTATCTATAGCATTCATCCTTGATGTGAGGGCCATAATTGCTACAAAGTAATTTTCTCTAAAAAATGTTTATCAGCATGCTATATGTGCATTTGATTTGGCACAGAGGAAAAGTGAACACTTTATCAATTTTCAGTTGTCCATCCTAATAGGAAGAGATGAGAAAACTAAAATTGAAATTATGACAAATCCCCTAATAATTTCTTTTAGGGCTTGAAATCACCATGAGATCTGCACTCACAGAAAGAGACATAGAAATGACGTCCAGTCTTCCTCATGAGGGAGGGGCAGAAGAATGCGGAACGTGTTGGAGGGATGGAGGGAGATGGGCCTGGCTATGAGCAGCTCATCCAGACCAGAGGAGCCATAGACCGATAAGAACACCACTGTTCTGTTCTGGACCCCAGGTAGATTGATAGTTGTTGATGGTGGTGGTGGTGGGGTGTGTGTGTGTGTGTGTGTGTGTGTGTGTGTGTGTGTGTGTGTGTGTGTTTCTTGGCTAATTCTTTACAGCAGCTCTGCTTTATATATTTTTTTCTCTTAAGTTTGGCAGGCCTATTACTAATGAAAAATAGGAAAGCATAATGAAATGTGTCTCCATGCTTGTTTCCCCCATCCTGAGATTGACTTACTCTAGCAAAGCAATTAAGTAGACGTTTATCAAAGTCATCTGTCACTCTGCCTCCATATTGTACTTCTCCAATCATGTACCGAACCGTATTCCATGATACACCCTTTGTTAAAAATAAAAAAAGGATTATTCAGTATCAATCTAAACAGATAATGATAAATATTTCAGGTCTTTCCTAGGAAAGGTCTGAAAAATGATAAATATTTTCAGGTCTTTTCTAGGCAAGATCTAGAAAAGGATGCAGTAGCTAGACCGCATTTACAATTATTCATTATCTTATATTAATATCTCTTTCACTATTATATGGCTGGAACCGCTACAGTTTGTTCACCAAGGAAAAATCTACAATACTAAACATGAGTAAATATATTGCCCACAGATTATTTTAAATAGGTAAAAAGACATTTTTCATTCTGGGGATATAATCACCTATAATACTCATTATGGTAATGCCAAGCTGTTACAGAGGGAAAAAATGGTGTTTAGTGAAGAAAGGAGGAAAATCAAGTAATCAACACTTTAATATGCTTTCTTAGTAATATATTTTCTAGAAAGATGAGAACTGGAAAATTATTTATCCACAAGATTTTCTACAATCCAATCCTCTGCCATCATATTCTGTGTGCTAAAACTACATCAAAGTACGTATTAATCTCTGTAGCACTCACAGTAACAATATATTGCAGATATTAATTGTTTTTTTATTTAAAAAAAAAACCCTCAACACACTTGGGGTAGGAGAAGTAAGGATGCTTGATTTTTATTTCTTTTTCTTGCTTTAAATTTTTGCTTTTCAGTTTGGTTGCCTTTCAAAGCAACTATTTCAAGGTAACCATTATTTGTATATACCAAAATAGGAAATAACCACAGAATATAAACCCATGCAATATAATTATTCATCAAATTGTCACGCTCTTAATTTAATATCTCTTTGTCATTTCAAGGAAAAATGATGACTTGGTTCTAGAGTAAGCATTCATCATGGCTCACCATCACCATACTGATAATCACAGCATCTTGGAGGCCTACTATGGGGAGGAGGAGCAGGGGAGACAGGAGCAAGTTATATTTATTGAGCCCTTATTACACTGTGCTTTCACAAATACTCATTTATTCACAGAAACCATGGCCATTTTATAGGTAAGGAAACAGGTTCTGAGGCTCATTAACTTGCAAGCCCTTTACATGTGTGAGAGAACAATTGAATATGTGCTCTGAGTCCTGTGACCTCAAAAAAGTCTCTTAGTCTCTCTTGTCTGTTGCCTCATCAGTAAAATGGGGTAACAGTAATGCTCTCTTTACCTACCTCACAGAGTTGTGAAGATGAAAATGAGATTCTGTATACATGAACACCATGATAACTATAAAGTGTCATATTATGGTTAGTGATCATTATTAGAAACTATTGCTATTCATATGCATAAGCTTAACAGTTAAGAAGTGACTTAAGGTGAAAAAGAACACTCACATGGACTGGCAGATACAATCTGCACCTCTGAGGAGGTGTGAGTAAGATCTATGAGGAAAAGTTTGACTAAAGGCATAGTTTTTCTTGAAATCACTGGGGTCCTGAGTGGAATACAAGTAAGGCTGTGAGACTTTACAGCACACTGGGTCTTATTACAATAGGTTCTGTCGTATGTGATTGTTGGGGACCAGGGGTGGGTGTGTGAGGGACCAGTAAACACCTGATTAGTATGTCCAGTCCCTTTGAAGTTGGTTGAAGTGACCTTGGTAAGTTCACTCTGTGTCATCGACTGAAAATGACCATAGAACCCTGCTTTAAGGACAGCAATAAAAATTTTTTAAAATTCACTCACCTTTTTAATATCACATTCATCAAGGTGATTCTGAATAAACTGAACACTGGCTGAAAAGTCAGCAGAATTGAATTCATAGGGAATATTCCATCCTAAGGGACCAAATTTTCGTCGCTCCTTAAAAACACCAAAGAAAAATAAGTTTTGAGTGGGTTTTTAAAATTGTATGTGGCTGGTTCTGTTTTTATTACTATCAAAATAAAGTAGAATAAAATTAAGGCCATGTTATCAAAATAAGTTGACACTGTCTTAAAAAAAACAGTATATACAATTTTGGATATGTAGTCGTGCATTGCTTGATGATGGGGTTATGTTCTGGAAAATGTGTCATTTGATGATTTCATTGTTGAGTGGTTGTGTGGACATCATAGAGAGTACTCAAACCTACTACACGCCTAGGCTGTATGGTATAGCCTTTTGCTCCTAGGCTACAAACTTGTACAGCTTGTTATTGCACTGAATACTATAGGCAACTGCAGCACAATGGTAAGCATTTGTGTTCCTAAACATATCTAAACATAAGAAAGGTACAGTAAAAATACAGTATTACAGTCTTATGGACCACCATCATGTACATGGTCCCTGGTTGACAGAAATATTATGCAGCACATGACTGTATTGACCATTCAAAATTTATTTCACAGCTTGATAGCCAAATGGTTTATAAAAACAAATCTTTAAATTTGCCAAGTTACAGTTCTTGGGTTTAAAGTTGTCTCCACTGACAACTCAAAAAAATTGCAGTTGCTAGTAAATATTTGTTGAGTGAAGAGTTATTCTAAATTGGACTCTCAAAAGTTTGAAATATCAAACATAAGGGTTTGAATTGTTCTAGGTGAATAGCATAAACACTCAAGAGCATTTAGACTCCTTGCTGGCTTCACTTTGTAATCTTGCCATTTCAAATCTTAAGAACCAAAAATTTCTATTGTATGCAAAACATATCTGTCTTAAAACCTTCACACAACCCTCATTTGGTTCTCTCTACTTAATTGGACAGTGCCTAAAAGACGCCTATGAAATAGGAGCTAACTGTTTAGAATTGCCCAATTACTCATAAATAAACTGAACTCAGAGCAAATGAGTCAATTGCTTTTACATTCTGAAGACCATTGTAAAGGTATGTAACTGTTAGAACTGATATCTCCAAGCACTGATCATGCAAAATACCAACACAAATGAATCTAAATGTTTCTAATGCCATCGAGTTTTCCTATCCCAGCACTTAATCAGTCTCTAAGGAAGACCTGATGATTTATTTGGATTCATTTTCAGACCCCTAATCCTAGTGTACAAGGTGAGGACTTATGTGGAGAGTGGAATTCCTGTACATCTATGGGATGATTTAATTCTACTTCTCTCTCTCTAAACATACACTATCTTCTTTCTCTCTTCTGTCTTCCCAACCCAACACACACACACACACACACACACACACACACACACGCACCGCTTTTTTTTTTTTTTTTATAAGCCATTCCAATCCTTTATACTACAGCTGTTCCATGCTTCGGATTGTGAATAATCCCACCATGTAATAGAATCTAAATACATTTTCACTTGGACAAATTCATGGACAGGTCAGATAAGAAATTCAAAAAGCACAAAGGTTTTAGTTAATGATGTTCAGGTATGTTTTTAAAGTATTAAGTAAACCATTAAAATTAATTTGGGTCCAGGTGTTCTCACCTTGGAAGATCAGACTAGGGGCAAAAAAATCTTTTTAAAATGTAAAATGTTATCATTACTTCTAGACCTGTATTTTTTTAGGTTGTCAGGCATTAGAGATCTGTACGATGTGACACCCACCTTTGTCCCCTAGCTAATTTGATCAAAAATAGACAACCAGCTCAAGAAAAGCTGGCCAGATTCCTTCTCCCAGGAATTTAGACTTAGGGTTCACAATTGCTATGCAGAGTTTAGACTAGGAAAACTTGTCAACTCAGAAGCTGTGACACGTCATCTTCCACTTTGTACACAGAGGACATGAGGAGGAGCAGAAGGCACAGCCTTGATGGGAGAAGACACTATGTGGTCCCAGGGGCAAGCGTGGGAGCCTTGGTCCTTAAAACTGCTTCTCTTGACGGCTTTCCACTTCCTGGTCCCAGCATTCTTGTTGCCTTGGTTTGTTTTCTTAGCTAATTCATGTTGAAATACATGTTCCTGTAACCAGATTTTGAGACTTGACAGTGAACAACACATCTTCTATTTTTGTCTCTCCTTTTGCTCCTTAAGGGAAGAAACATGGCTGCCTAATAAACATTGGCCAATTATTTATATTTTATTTTTTATTTTTAGTCTCATTCCGTCACCCAGGCTGGAGTGCAGTGGCATGCTCACTGCCACCCCAGCGTTGACCTGCTGGGCTCCAGCGATCCTTCCACTTCAGCCTTCCAAGTAGCCGGAACTACAGGTGCACGCTACCATGTCCGGCTGATTTTTTTCTTTTGTAGATGTAAGATATAAGTTGCCCAGGCTATTCTCAAACCCATGGGCTCAGGCAATCCCCTCCCCTCAACCCCCTCAAAGTGCTGGGATTACAGGTTTGAGGCACCAAGCATGGTCAAAAGGAATTCTTTCTCTCACCTCCCAGGAGGTCAATTCTGAGGCTGATTGAGGGTAATTTCTGGAGTGGACCTCAGAAACACTGAGGTGAGCCTCTTCCAGGTTATCCCAGGAACAATTGTGGGTTGAGAGGGTTTATGGGATGTTAACATGAAAATATGTACAACTAACCCTTTAGTCCCTGGGATTTCTTCCATCTTGAGGACTTCAAAGAGAAGAATACTAATAATTTATTAATGAAATGCAAATATCTTCCCATGTTTGAAAAAGAGAATAAAACTTTGCATTATTAGTTTTAACTATTTGACTTAATTTTTAAATTTTAATATTTAATTACACAGAGGACTGAATGAAAAAGAATTCTTTCTTTCCAATTACTGAAGCTGCTTAAATTGGCTCTATGGAAACACTCCTATTTATATACACTAAGCAATTGCAATTTAGTTGCTTCTTAAAACGTGAGCTTCGAAAATTGCCCAGTGTTGAGATTTGCTTCCTGATTTTGTTTCTGACCACAAATTTTCATGAAAGCATTATCTTTTTAAGTAGTTTCACTAATGTCTTAAACCAAATTAGTTCATTTTGTGGGGGAGGAAGAAAAAGAAAAAATTTTGGTGAGTGTCTTTTCTTTCACAAATGAAGGCATTTCACCTTTTTTTTTTTTTTAATCACCTTGGAATCAGAATAAATTCAAACCACTGTAACCTCTGAAGTCATTTGAAAGCTCAAAAGCAAAAGCCTCAAGCAATTCCCCTGCCTCTGCCTCCCAAAGTGCTAGGATTACAGACATGAGCCATCACACCTAACTGGAATATTGAATTTCTTTAGTTCAATTGGTATTTTTGAAACCATGTGATGAATCTTATTAAAATGGATGTATTTTCAAGTATCTTTAATCTAGTCAAAAAATAAGACTTAGAAACAAGAAAGGGACCTTATGATAGTGAAAATAATTAACTGTCGATAAGCCTAAAAGAACATTAAACCAGAGGCTTCTGGGAAGAATGAAACTGAAGTTTGTCTTTGAAAAGAGTGGGGAAGAGACTTCCAGGTTTGGCAAAGGCCATGACCAAAACAGGAACACAAAGCCTGTGATTCGTGGAGAAGAAGGCTGCAGATAGAAGGTTCAATTGCAGTCAAGGGCTAGCTCTGCTGAGAAGCAGCAATGAAGTGTTCATGTGCTTCAAGCATGGAATGCAGTCTGAGTGGAATGTCAAAACCTCATTCAGCAGGAGAAAGTTATACACTGTTAAGTTGGAGAGTGATAATTTTAGGAAGACAAGTCTGCTTCCTGCTTAATTTGACCAATATAGTTCCTTCTTTTTATTTCAAAACACAGAATTACTAGTGAAATTGGGAAAACTTGGAAACATGAAAAACTCCTTAGAACACAGATGAAAAGTTGCTCAGTGGAGTCATCACTTTAATGATGTCAAAGTTATTTCCAATTTTTTGTCTCATTCTACCTCAGGATCTCCCACAGTCCAATGCGAAATCATTTCACATCCATCTTCAAAAAAAGAACACTGAAGTTAACTATCTAAATCCAGTAACTGGAGATATTATAAAATGAAAAATACAAACCATACTAGACAATATGAGGGAATTTTTAATGGGTAAAAATAATTAGCTAAAATAGCTAGAACAACTAGGAGACACTATAAGGAGCATGTAAAAGATAGAGTTGTATCTTATTTTTGTGATTATTAAAAGACTTTAAAAAAAAGTGGTTTTTTTTGAGTTGGAGTCTCACTCTGTAGCCCAGACTGGAGTGCAGTGGCACCCTCCTGACCACCGCAGCCTTACGCTGCCAGGGTCCAGCGATCCTGCCGCCTCAGTCTTCCAAGTAGCCAGAACTACCGGCATGCACTACCATGCTTGGCTAATTTTTGATTGTTGTAGAGACGAGGTCTCGCCAAGTTGCCTGGATGGATCTCAAACCCATCCAGTGGGTTCCTGAGTGGGCTCAGGCAATTCACTCGCCTCAGCCTCCCAAAGCGCAGGATTACAGGCTGAGCCACAGAGCCCAACCCTATTCAGAGACATTTAAACTAAGAATTTTATAATCATGCCGTCCCAAAACAGGAACTTGACATATGCTATTAAATTCAAAAGGAGTGTTTGTCAAGGCTCAAACTTGAGAAAGAAAATAAAAGTAGGTGAAGTAAATACTTTTCCAAATGAAGAACTTTTAATAGAACTCCCTAGGCCGGGCTCGGTGGCTCAGCCTGTAATCCCAGCACTTTGGGAGACTGAGGTGAGTGAATTGCCTGAGCCCACGGGTTCGTGACCTGCCTGGGCAACTTGGCGAGACCTCATCTCTACAATAAATCATAAATTAGGCAGGCGTGGTAGCGCGCCTGTAGTTCCAGCTACTTGGAAGGCTGAGGCGGAAGGATCGCCGGAGCACAGCA